AAGTGAAGATATACATATCAAAGAACTTTTTATTTCCGCGCAAATGCAGGCGAAAAAACCGCCCTGAAACCACATCCAACCTCGCACCTTCAAACCCCCTCAGTTGATCTAAACCCAAATTACTCGCCTCAGTATGTTACAGTAATTTTTCCTCTACCGGCCCGCTAATTTTTATTTTTATCAGGATAATTTTTCTCTAACGTAGAATAAAATTTGATCATATATTAATTTTTACTAAATTTCGGTATAGAAATGAGGAAACGGTGACTCATGATACAGTTTTATAGAACGATAGGGTAATTTTTATCAAAAATTTCTCTCCGTGTGGTACAGTAATTTTTACTCTACTGGCCCACTAATTTTTATTTTTATCAGGATAAAATTTCTCTAACGTAGAATAAAATTTGATCATATATTAATTTTTACTAAATTTCGGGATAGAAATGAGGAAACGGTGACTCATGATACAGTTTTATAGAACGATAGGGTCATTTTTATCAAAAATTTCTCTCCGTGTGGTACAGTAATTTTTACTCTACCGGCCCGGTAATTTTTATTTTTATCAGGATAAAATTTCTCTAACGTAGAATAAAATTTGATCATATATTAATTTTTACTAAATTTCGGGATAGAAATGAGGAAACGGTGACTCATGATACACTTTTATAGAACGGTAGGATAATTTTTATCAAAAATTTTTTTCCGTGTAACAAAAAAAATTTATTTACCAAACCTCCCCCGTTTTCATATTCCTCAACCTCCAAAAACCATAATTATAAATTTCCGCTGTCATCCTCCAGAATGACAAACGACAGTCACATGCGCAATACCGCAATACACATAATTTTAATACGTTCAACCGAAGGTTATTACCGAGTTGATTCCCGCGGTCACGCCAGGGCACTCTAGTGGCCGTCGCATCGCGAGCCGAAAAACCCGCGGGGGGACAACATAATGCCCAGAAGAGAGAGACACCGCAGCCAACAGCCGAATGTATCAAGTTGCCTGACGCACGCGAGTTAAACAGGGTTATTAGTTATTGTTGTTTGAACAGGTGCCAAATAACGCGAACAATCCGCGACAAATGAGGACCACACAAAATTCACAAGCAAACATCGGGCGAAAAAAACAAAGCATTTAACAAACGCGAACGTGACAATTTGCAGTTGAGTTGACAAAGCGAAGCTAATGCGTCAAATAAACTCATAAACTCCTTAGAAAATTGAGTCGAGTGTTACACAAAGTGCTGGTGTATTACCGCTGTTTAAGAAACGGTAGAGGGAGAAAAACGAGCGGTAAATATGTGAGATAGTGCGAGTGGAGGAGAAACGATAAAATTTATCTAACCGACTAAATAAACCGGTTCCGCGATGCCTCTAGCACGTGCATTCCCCAGTTCTGCGTGCACTCTTTCTTTTACATGCGAATCTAAACGTTTAGGTTTACCCATAAAACCTAAAAACCGCGAAGTGAGGGCTAAATTGTGGGAGATATGCCATGGAGATATACAGTAGCAAAATGAGAAATGAAGGTGCGAGTCATTTTGTTTGCTCAAGTATCGTGCAGAATAGTGACAGAAATGCTCGTATACACTGAACATTGTGTACATTCCATTGGTCATTGTTATTTTGTTCACAACCTAGGTGCATTTACAATCGTAAAGTGTCACAATGCGCCGCCCACGGATGCTATTCTCGATCGTTAAATCGAAACACCCACAGTGAGTGATGTTTCTCGGGGAATCAATTGTTTTTGTGATGTGCGATGCTTTGGATACATGGGAAATAATCAGGTAACGACTTGTGGGATATTCAGGTACAATCAGATGTGTCTATTTCAGGGTGGTCGTGGAGAATACTTGGAAAATTTGAAGTAGAAAATCTTGAAATTTCTAATGACGACTAGTTATTCAGTGGAATATGAAGTTCAATGAAATATTCAATGAGATCGATATTTTCAAGTCTATATATTGTTGGGAAAAAATTGAAATTTCAGGGAGATGTTTGGTGCATGGTAATATTCAGGAGTGTGCCATTGAATTTGATTTAGGAGAAAAAGATTATGAAATTGATTGTTTCACTGAAAGTTCAATGGAATTCGAAATTTGTGAGCAACAAAATAATGGAAATTGTCCAATTTACTTGAATTTAGAATCAAAGTATGAATATTTAGCGGTAAATTACACTGAATTTTTCATTAATCGAAATTTAAGAATACGTTTATCTGAATTTTCCTGATTCCGATTAATTTCAATGGATTAAATGAACTAAAATTTGCGGTTTTCATGAAACTTTGAATTTTCAATAAGATTTCTTGAAATTTCGGTTTTATTGTAATATGATAAAAATTGGCAAAAAGTGTACCGAAAATTTTAGCCAAACATTTTTAATACTGTAGTGGTAATTTCCAGGAGAGTGACATTGAATTTGATTCAGGAGAACAAAATTATGAAATTGATAGCTTCACTGAAAATTCCATGGAATTCCAAATTTTTCAGCAGCAAAACGATGGAAATTATCTCATTTACTTGAATGTAGAATCACGGCATGAACATTCAGTGCTAAATTACACTGAATTTCCATCGGAACTGAAATTGACGGTTTCCATTGATTTTCCATGAAAATTTGAATTTTCAACAACGAAATTTCGAGAAATTTCAGTATAATTGTAAAGTGTATCGCTAATTTGAGCCAAACATTTCGAATAGTACAGTGCCAATTTTAAGGAGAGTGACATGTAATGCGATTTCGAGGAGGGAAATTATGAAATTGCTAATTCAATAGAAAATTCAGGGGAACTGTAAAACTTTGAGCAGTAACACGATAAGAATTATCCGATTTACTTGAATTTACAAACAAACATGAATATTTAGTGTTGAATTATGTACTGAATTTCCAATTGTTTCAAAATTCAAAAATATGTTCATTGAAATTTCAGCAAAAAAATTTCACTAGTGTATATCGATTCTCAAATAAGGGTATCTCATTCCCTAGATGCAAAAGAAGAGGTAAAATATACTAAATAAAAGTTGCATATAAAAATTACACATCAAGATTACACGGATTCGACAATCAACTCAGTCTAGCCATCATAAAACGACGGTATTACCTCTGAATTTCATGCCACTAATTAGATGAAATGACATAAAAAAAAATCCAAAAAGTGTACCAGAAATCTCAGCATAAAGTTCCCCATACTTTCTGACAACGAAAATGACGTACTGAAGTCTCAACCTCAGTTCTCACAATTTGTTTTCAAAATTAAAGCTGTCATTGAAATATTAATAATCGCCTAAAATGAAAACTTACATTTCTTCAAATTTCAAATTCACAACATTGAATAATGCAAACTGCAACTGCAAAAAATTTACAAAACTGTATATTAACTCTAAAATAGGATTATCCCATTCCCTAGATAAAAAAGAAGGGGTAAAATACACTAAATAAAAGTGACACATATTCAAAAATAAACTCAGTGTAGCCATCATAAAAAAACAGGGTTACGTCTGAATTTCAGGCCTTAATGCCACTAATTAGCTGCGATAAAAACGTCCAAAAAATGTCCCAAAAATTTCAGTATAAATTTCTCAACACTTTCTGACAACGAAAATGCCGTACTGAAGTCTGAATCTATCGTACTAAATCTATCGATCATTCAATTGCATTTAATACTGAATTTTCACAATTTGTTTGAAAAATCAAAGTTGTTGTTGAAATATCAGCAATCGCCTAAAATAAGCCCTTCAATTTCATTCAATTTCAAATTCACAACATTCAAAAATCAACGGCAAAAAATTTTAACAGGGTATATCAACTCTAAAATATCAATGAGATTGTCTCATTTTCTAGATGGAAAAGGAGCGGCAAAATACACTAAATAAAAGTTGCACAGAAAAATTCAAAGCTGCATTTTAAATATCAATAATTCCCTAAAACGAGAACTTCATTTTCCTCAAATTTCAAATTCGCAATATTGAAAAATCTACCGCAACTATCATTAAAATTTCACAAAATTTCCACCATCCTAATAATCAACAAACGAACTCTAAAATAGGGTTCATTTACCCTAGATGAGAAAGATGAGATAAAACAGACTAAATAAAACACATATTCGCCTATCACCTCAGTCTAGTCATCATAAAACAATGGTTACCTCTGAATTCAATGCTCAATTCTCCCAGTTCATTTAAAAAATCAAATCTGTCATTGAAATCCCAACAATCGCCCAGAAAGAAAACTCAACTTTCCTCAAATTTCAAATTCCCAAAATTGAAAAATCAACGGCAATTCTCATAAAAATTTCACAAAATTTCCAACACCCTAATAATCTACAAACGTACTCTAAACTAGGTTTCATTTACCCTAGATGGGAAAGATGGGCTAAAACACACTAAATAAAACACATATTCGCGAATCCCCTCAGTCTAGTCATCATAAAACAACGGGGCTACCTCTGAATCCAATACTCAATTCTCCCAATTCATTTAAAAAATCAAACCTGTCATTGAAATCCCAACAATCGGCCAGAAAGAAAACTCAACTTTCCTCAAATTTCAAATTCCCAAAATTGAAAAATCAACCGCAACAATCATTAAAATTTCCCAAAATGTCCAACACCCTAATAATCCACAAACGTACCCCGGCGAACGTCGAATGACGCTGGAAGGTAACAAAAAACTCGACAGACAGATTGTTAAATTTACGAGGCCTAAACTCCTCCGGTGTTTCAAACCAAAAAAACATGTGCTCTCTTCAGGGTGCAATATGCGAGAGGGCGAGTGTTTAACGATCGCCACGATGCGCGTAAGCGGCCAAGAATTTACGAGCCCCGGGGTTTTTCAAAAAAATTATCATCCACAAAATATAGTGCAGAGTTTACATGACTCGAGGAACAAATAAAAACGGGATAAATAATAATCACTCGTGCGACACTGACAGAACAAAGAATCAAACTCATTGGCCATAATATTCCATATAAATATCACTATATTTTCTTTATCTGCAGTTACAGTTCAATAAATATCTTCGTAGGTGTATATACAAAAGCCGGCAGGAGATAATGTTATACATGAAATAAGTGTGTTTTCAAATTCTTTTCCTTCGTCGAATTCATTTAAATAGTCGACAAGCCGCCGTTTCCCCTCTGATAATAAAAAACCACAAACAATTGAATAAAAAAGTGAGCCTGCTACATGGAGTTCATTTGAATACAATCACAAGGCAACTCGACTAAAATAACAACAGAGAGTACCAACAATTTTTCTCATACAGCTCGTCGATAATGCTTTCTTCAATATATGGCACAGACTCGAGAGTTCTTTGAGTCGCACAATCACACAATGACACCGGTACGTTGAATACATCTACACAATGATGCATTCAACCAATATTCGACTGATAAACCAAAAGCACACTGAGACGTCCCCAAGAGGATATTTGGACCACCAATCACTACAGTTTCTCCAGGGCCCGCGTGTTGGTCAGCAGTTCGCGGGTGAGCCGCCAGACCTGCTTGGCAGCGTTTTCAAGTCCACTGGGTGATTTGCCCTTGAACAGATCCAAATTTGGCAGGAAATAGTGAGGACACCGTCGACACTGAAGGCAGGAGATCAACTGCAGAAAGATGCCATTGATTCGATCACCAAGACAGCTCTCGTCCCACTCGAGCTCATGAGGATGCTTCTCACATTCGTACAGCAAAAGAGTCTTCATGTGATAACTCGTGACAGGATTGCCGGGTAAATCGAGATGGCGATCGCGAAGGGTCTTCAACATACTCAGACACCGTCTCCGACTAGCCCCCTGAAGCAATCTGTTCTCGGCATCGATGAACGACAGTGCCCAAGCGTCGCCCTCCATCGCGGACTGCTTGCCCTGGAGTCCGATGCACTCCTTCGACAGCATGTCAAAGCCCTCGGCCTTCACCTCGGCGACGATGTTCGGATGGGGCCACGGAATTTGGGGAATCGGCCAGTGCGATGCCGATCTTGGCCACAGACCGGCGCACTTGAAAGCCGGCGTTATTTGCACAACATATCTCTCGCGTATTCTCAACTTAACTTCAGTCGTATCAGCAATCATCTTAACAGAGTCACGATAAGCGCACTTATCACACGCCTGTGCCACGAGTGTTTGAAACCTCGATCGTATTTTTCTAGCACTCAAGTAACCAGACGCCGTTATAAATTCCACCCACAGTGACATCGAGCGTTTTCTGCCGTCGCTGAGCTTCAGCACAGCGCAGCCCGGCAGAGTGCCGTCGTCCACAAAATTTAAAACACCCATTTGGTTCAGGTAGATGACTATTTCAAACTCCGTCGGCGATATGACGTCGAGGCCATCGAAGCGGCCGTTGTAGTCCGTCAGCGATGAGATGAACCGCGGCTCCTGCACTTCAACTTCCTTCAGGACGTCCTGAACGACTCGGCACACTTCCTGAATGGTCTTGGCTACCTGGGTCTTGCGCGACATCACGCGTTCACCGAAGTACTTGTTTATTTGATACACCATTTTTGAGTGGGATGCCAGCATATCCGGTGGCACCAGCATCTTGACGTCGCCCTCGGGCTGAGGGCACGGCCCAACTTTTAATCCCAATCACCGCATCCTCGCGACAAACTTGCGGTGATGAAAAAACAACGGCTGCTCGCGGGCTTCAGAAGCTTGCCGATCGGCAAAAAACTGCCGACGGCGTCAGTTTTGTAATTCAAGTTTTTTAGTCACTTCTCTTCGCGCCAATTGGTAGTCATCCGCAAATAGATATTTCAAACCCGAGATGTCTCTGGTGGGATTCTCGTGTAGAGCGTTGACTCCGCGATCACTGCCGCGGCGCAGCAGAGACACGAGCGATGCGTCAGGAAGAGAGTAGATTGAAGACTGTGCTGGTCCACCTTCGTGCCACCCACCCTCGGTGGAAGTCTACCAGGTGAGGCGCGACAGCCTCTCGTGAAGGCCACGCCTCCGTGCTGGGTTTTGCAGCCAATCCTGGTAGTGGCTTTCGGCAGACATGCGCCGCCCATCACTGCTGATCGATCCGAACCGGGGAGTCTACCTTTCTCACACGACTAACCCTGTCCCGACAGTGAATACCACAGGCCGGGAGCCCTTACATGAATTATGCAGCGGGACTCGGGTATTTTTTTTTATCTATCGAGGGGCGAGAAAGCGAGTTGTACTCTTATTTATTTCCACATTTTTCGGCATGGCGGAGGGAGGTGAAGTCTGGGGATTCCTGAGATGGGGAAAAAGTCGACGGCGATGGGCTTTGCTGGAGGTGGTCGAAGTTACGCGAAGTTTGATCTTGTGGTGAAAGGGCACGGGGAAAACTGAAGAAAAATTACTGGGGATTGTCAGGAAAATTGAAATTGCGAGCACAAACGATTAGTCATTTTCAGGGACATTAAGGTATATCCCAAGACAATACGACCCAAAAGTTAGTCCTCACTGTTAAAATTTTTCGTCTGTGATAAAATTTTTATCGTGTTCAAGTTCCACTGAAATTTTAGACAATCTAGTCATTGACAAATCTAATATTCCATTGATTTTCTGTTCAAATGATCTGGAAATCACTGAAATACTTGAAAATTCAGAAAAATCAGGGAAATTCAGGGAAAATTGAAAATTCATGTCATTTTGGTTCTGATTATTCATGTTTTACGGAAAATTTAATCGATTTGTAAAATTGCCATGTCACTCCCACTGAAAACTCATGAATTTCTGTGAATTCTTCTTGAAACTTGAAATTTCATGAACATTTTTCTATGTCACTGTCATAAGTTTTACTATAATATCTTCAACAAAATTTTAAAAAATTTCCAACAGTGCGTATAGATTTCCGGAGAAAATTCTAAATGACTTAATTTATTGCATTCTCGTAAGGTATTGAGTTTTTCTATCCTCATATGGTATTGATGAAGGCAACAATAGCTGTTTCAATCAAATAATAAATCATTTGTGAATTAATTGTTTGAATCAAATAATAAATGATTTCACGAAATTTCCATTTTTTCGAGTTGATTATCGCAGAAACTATGTCTTATAAAATTTTACGAAAATTCACCGTATTCGGAATTTATCAATCTACTACGGATTCGTTTTTGAAGAACATCGGAAGAATCGCTTTCTCATAAGATGGGAAAATTGAGTTCGGGGGACTCATAACCCGCCCATAGGACTTATACCTCGTGTACTAAAAGCCCGCATTTCATTATTTATTATTTTCTGAACTGTGTAGTATAGCTAGTTAAAATTTTTTTCAATAGCTAGGAAATATTATAGAAATTATCTGTGAAAAACGTAGGGACAATCGGGAGAAAAAACAGTTTTCTAGGGATATACCATGAGTTGAAACTGTCGAAACTCTTAAGTTGAGATTTGAAAGTCTCAAGTTAAGACTTTCAGATGGATAAAATTGAGATTTTCAAATTGAGACTTGCAAATCTTCTTTTATCCTTCTGAAGTTCTCAATTTAAGGTATATCCCAAGACAATACCACCCAAAAGTTAATCTCTATGGATTTTCGGAAAAAATTCTACACGACTTAATTTATTGCATTCTCATAAGTTATTGAATTTTTCTATTCTCATTTCACCTACTTGTTGTATTCAACAACTAGTTGTTGAAATTCACAACAGTTGGGAGAGTCAGTTGGGGGAGTACCCGATGCATAGTCGGAAGGTCCCGGGTTCAAATCCCGGTCCGGCCTATCCATTTTTTTCAGTGAAAATTTTCTGATTATTCATATTGAGAATAATCCAGGTTCCCCTCCTACCTCATCCAAATCCCATCCACTCATTTTCCTATGACGTCACAAAAATGTGGAACGATATATAAATCTCCTTCTTTAATGTTTATTGTAAACATTAATGTAGTTATTAATGTAATTATTTGGTGAATTTCGACGACTAGTTATTGAAATTCACCAAATAATTGTTTTCGTGATTGACATAGATATTCGACAATCCACTTACAGTTTATCACAAAACCAGTGTTATCTCCGATGTTATTGTCACATTTCACAGTGGTAACAGCAAATTGTGCACAATTTGCTGTTACCACTATAAAATGTGACAATAAAATGCCAATTTGCTCACAATTTCGTCATGTAACAGCAGAGATCATCGAGTTACCGTCAGTCCCACAGCCTCAACTAACACGTCACCCAGCGACAGTAATTTTTCTGCATTAATTCAATTCAATCCCCGAAATTCGATGCCCCGACTCATCTCCTAATCTCCTTAGTTCCACTGTCTGGCAGCGTTGAAAGCCTCTCATCGAGAGTGTGAACCAACCGTAATAGCTACCTTATCGTGTACCATAAATAAACACTACCTTGATAAGGCTAGATAACTAAGCGAGTTATTTAGCGCGTTAGATGATGATATCCAGTAGCGAATGACATCCGTATACATACCTGTTCTTTTTCCAGCGCTCGTTTAAAGTCCAGCACGTAGATAACCAGCGACATAAAGAAATAGTTTATTCATTTTAATTACAGCTCTCCTCAGTATTGTAGCTCACCGCGAAGGAACTATCGTGTTTCACGTACCATAAACCCACGTTTTTATAGCCAATTCAACGAACAATTTGAATATACTGTGTATGAATTTATCGACGTTATCAGAATGATGCGATCGATGAATATCTCGGATTAAATTAACGTCTGGTGAATTATCACCAAGTGATTCGCGAAGAAATTGGATGGGTTTACAAACTTGCGAGCAATAGACAGTCGATATAATGTTTATTTACATCTTACATACGTGAAGCAGGAAACAGTTTCAAATATAAAATAAATACTTCAAATAAATTTTACATCAGTGGAGCCTATTTACATTCAACAACGATAGAAATATAATTTCCGTATGAAGTTCATAATAGTTATTGACAAGATTAAATTGCAGTAACAAATCACAATAAACTTAGCCTCGAGTGACTGTTCGGATTAAATTTATCAGTCACAGATTCATTCCCAATCATTGCACAATCAAACTCAACTCAATCAGACAATAAAAACCGGAAAAGCTCTTGGTGAATGAGCAAGCGTAGTACTTATTAGTGACGATAAACGTTGCTTGGACACAATACGTCAGATTATTGGCTAGAGTTTCTCGAGTGCACGGCTGTTGGTGAGCAATTCCCGTGTCAGCCTCCAGACTTGTTTGGCTGCTGTTTCCAAACCGTTGGGCGACTTTCCCTTGAAGAGATCGAGATTCGGCAGGAAGTAGTGAGGACACCTGCGACATTGTAGACAGGATATGAGTTGTAGGAAAATGCCGATTATCCGATTGGCAAGACAACTGGCGTCCCACTCGGTCTCCAGCGGATGCTTTTCGCACTCGTACAGCAGAAGAGTCTTCATGTGATAGCTGGTGATGGGGTTGCCAGGTAGATCCAGGTGGCGATCGCGTAGAGTCTTCAGCATGCTTAGGCAGCGCTTGCGGCAGCCGCCCTGCAGCAGTCTAATCTCAGCTTCCTTGAAGTTCAGCACCCAGGCGTCGCCTTCCATCGCCGACTGTTTTCCCTGCAGCGCCAAGCACTCTTTCGACAGCAGATCGAACCCCTCAGTTTTGACTTCAGCTATCAACCCCGAGTGCGGCCAAGGGCCGCCGGATGCCGGCCAATAAGCCGCCGATCTTGGCCAGACACCGGAACACTTGAATGCCGGAGTGATCTGCACCACGAATCTCTCCCTGATCCTCAGCTTCACCTCCGTCGTATCAGCAATCATCTTGACGCAGTCCCTGTACGCACACTTGTCACAGGCTTGCGCCACCAGTGTCTGGAATCTGGACCGAATTTTTCGCGCACTGAGGTATCCAGACGCAGTGATAAACTCCACCCAGAGCGACATTGAGCGTTTCCTTCCGTCGCTCAGCTTGAGCACTGCGCAGCCCGGCAGGGTACCATCATCAACGAAATTGAAAACACCCATCTGATTCAGATACAAGACCACCTCGAATTCACCAGGTGATATCACCTCAAGTCCCTCGTATCTTCCGTTGCACTCGGTCAACGACGATATGAATCTTGGCTCCTGCACTTCCACCTCCTTCAGTACATCCTGCACCACTTTACAGACTTCACGGGTTGTCTTCTGTATCTGCGCCATCCTCATCTGGACGCGCTCCCCGTGGTACTTGTTCATCTGATAAATCATGTCCGTCTGGACGGCGGAGAAATCCGATGGCACTAGCATGGCTTCCATGTCTCATCTGGCCATCATTGGATAATGGAGCAGTTCAGGGCTGCCAATTCCAAACTCATCAGAGCTGTCAACTCTATCAACCACCAAATCAACTCAACGATAATTGTGACGTATTTGTATCTCGTGTTTGACCGATTTCAGCCGAAAAACTACGGGTTTGAAGCGCACGACGACAGAGTACCGGCCAGGTTCACTGGTATTAGCTGTCGTCCACTTTTCCTGGTGGTAATACGCGCAAGACACCAGAGTCAAGTCCCGCCTCCATTCGCGATATAGTCACGTGGCGTCTGCGCGATTCTGCCACGCCCAGCGGGACTCATCGCGCATTTGTCTGACTATCTCTCTTGCTCCTTCACTGCCTCGATGGGTGTTGCAACCTCACACCCATAAGAAAATCCACAATCAACATCCAGGCGAGCGGTTTAAAAAACGAAAAGTCTGAGGGCCTCAGCCCGGGTGATGCTGCTGAATAAATTCGTTCACATGAGAATCACTTCGAGTTTCTTATTGACTTAACGAATGATTGATTTGATCGTGATGACAGGTGACAGTCAGACACTTGCTGTTTTAATTCCGTCGGTTCATCAAAGGATACTTTATATGGTCTTCATCGTGGAACATCTTCAGCGAATGCCAGTGATGAAAAATTCAACGACGACAAAAAGAGGAAGATATGTGAAACCTGTCGTGGGGTGAAGCCCACCCAGCAAAACAGAGCACTCATTCACGGATAATTGAATAAAGCCCCGGGAATCCAATCTAGTAGAAGTTGGAGTGGTAGATTGGTAGCCAACGACCCCCGTGCCGCCCTCTAATGCGACTTGATTCATGAGCACCGGCTACATCACCCCCGCCGCATATTTCTGCTGAGGGGTCAAAACACTCTGCGTCAACCCCCCGAGTGCTGCTGCTCTCTGTCCCTAAATGCGTCTTTCATCATCGGGGTTTCGACTTAATTCGTTCGTCCCTGGAATTATTTTCTCACTCCAGGGAACATGCATTAATGGTAATTGGTGTTTTAATCGGGTTCAGGGCCGTTATCTGATCAATCTGATCCTCGATGGGAAAACTAGTGCTTTCAAGGCGTCTCAATTTTAGATACTAGACACTAATATGTGTTTTATTGGATAATTTTCGTGAAAACGAGAAGTTTGACGGACAAGACATTTTCATAACGTCTTGACATACTAGTCACCAATTTTAAGACTTATTTGCTGTCTCAATTTAAGACACGGAAGGACTATTCAGTCACTAGTTATTTAGGACGGCAGCGCTACGATATGATATTGATCTCATTAAGACATGGAGTCATTAGACGTTTTTGGTGATTTATCTATTTTCTTCCAATTTATTGAGAAGGTCGGCAGAGTGATGAGGGAGAGAGACATCAAATTAATTCAAACGTAGTATTTGCGAGATAAGAAGGGTCCTGGGAGCATGGTTCAGGGTTGTTGTCTCATCATAATAATAATTTTCGCGCAATGAAGTTTGAGTTTGATGGATAAAACATTTTCATAATGTCTTGACACGCTAGTCAACAAATTTAAGACATTTTTGCTGTCTCAATTCAAGACACCGAAGGACTATTCAGTCACTAGTCGTTTATGACGGCAGCGCTACAGTATGACATTAATTTTATTAAAACATGGAATCATAAGACGTTTTTGGTGATTTATCTATTTTCTTCCAATTTATTGAGAAGGTTGGAAGAGTGATGAGGGAGAGAGACATCAAATTAATTCAAACATAGTATTTGCGAGATAAGAAGGGTGTAAAAACCTTAAATATCATTCTAAAGAAAAATACTTTTTATCACTATTTTTTATGACAATAGTATATTGTGTTACTGATGCGTAAAGATCCACTTTTTCCCACGCACTTGTAACACATCCTATTTTTTGTGATCCCTGCCGAGTTTACGGTTTGGAGCGGTAGTGGGGGTAAAGTGATTGTTTTTGTGGATAAGTGCATAAAAACAACCACTTCGTGGTTGTGGTTGTGCACTTTATGCACGCCGTGCGGAAAACAAGCGCTTTACGCCTACGAAACCGTTTCGAAAAGTGCACTTTTGAGGAAGGTATCACAAAACAATTTTTTACTCTTATTTTCCTAACTTCTTCCAATTCTACTTCATCACCGTTATCTTTAACATGATCGAAATTATCAGTGAAGAAATGATTGGCTCTTCTCACGCAACGTGGTCGATCGTTGGGAAAAAATGAAGTAATAATGGAAAAAGAATATCCTAGAATGTGGTATATAATATTCTGCAATCAAGAATATTTGTATTCTTGAATCAGGTATGTTACATTCTGGATTCCGGAATAATATCCCGTAATCTGCACTGATAGAAGAATTCAGTTGATGTTAACGAGATTCGGTAACTGCTACCGAATGGCACTGTTGAATTAGAAGAACTGAATATTCGTTAATAGTTACCGAACGATTCAGTTGAGCGGTGGCGTGTTCATCCAAATGAACCATTCGGTAATAGTTACTGAATGGTCAATTGATGTGAAAAATGGTTGTTCGTTCATGATTAATTATGATTTGATAGTGAGCACCATTTTTAATAACATTAAAAATAAGCGTAGACTCTATATAGTATCGTACCGAGACACGAGTTATTTAGAAGGATTAAATTCCAGCGATCGGATATAATGTAATCGGCGTTTCTGTGACATATAAATGAAAACCGTTACACGTATGAAAAAATCGTATAGAAATTTTCTATACGGATTGCGTATAGAATTTCTATAGGATTTTCGTATATGATATTCGGATATTTCTATACGGATATTTTTTATGCAAATTATTTCTATACGATTTCTATAGATTTGATCCTATACGACCCACTTCCTCATGTATAGAAACATTTCGTTAGGAGTTGCGACATTTCTCTACGTTTTTCTTTGGAGCGTTTAGACATAGTTTGTATGAAAACAAAAGTTTATGTAAATATTCATGTATAGAAATAATTCGTATAGAAAATATTCGTATAGAAATATCCGAATATCATATACGGTAATCCTATAGAATTCTTATACACAATCTGTATAGAAAGTTCCTATACGATTTTTTCATACGTGTATACACGGAGAGAAATGTACGAGAAAAATTACCGTGCCCGCACAGTAAAGTTGGTTCAGATGGTCTTTCCAGGCCAAATGTACCGCAAAGAGTAGGAAAAAGTACTGTTGCACGAGTCATTTTTCGGATAAATGTGGGGAAAAATTCTTGTGCAGCACGGTAAAATCGAAGCGACAGTGAATTTTTACGAGAAATACGAGAAAAATTATGACACTGACTGGCAAATTTTTCCGGTGCTCTACCAGAATCCTAGGACCCGATCGCGCATTCGTAAGATTTCGGTACTCTTCGTCCCCCCTCCGCAACCACGAACATCGACTCAACGTGACCAGATGATTTATTCCGTCGCCTCCTCTAGCCTCCTCTCTCACATATCTCCTTACTGAAACCCCAGGTTAATGTTTTTCATAATATCAATTCAGTGAAATATTAATTAGTGTTGTGATAAAACGGTTAAGAAATAAAATAAGTGCCCTTTATTTTCGCTTCATGAGGTGTATAACGCTGTAGATATACATTGGCCTG